TCAACATATTCAATACTTGACATTAGATACTGGACCATTCCCCAACTAAGAGCAGACAGTAAAAACCATAATGTCCAAAAGGTAGCGGAACAATTTACCTTTCCTACTGTTGTTCTATATTCCTCGAGTGTCTCAGGAGCAGCAAATAGACGGAGAGCATCTTGAATGGTACGAACAGCCTCATGTGAAATATCAAGATGGAGCACAAAAAATGGTTGAACAGTGGCAGAGGCTTTGTTCCCTATTATAAAGTAGATTCAAAATCTTAAACTCAATCCAAATTCAAAAATAGTTGAGACTTGAGAGAACCTCAAAGGTCAGACAAAGTTGTCTTTCCTACGAAAAATAGATAAAAGACATACTAGCATGAGCACAACATCTAGTTGCTTCACAAACGAGCTATTGCATTTATGTCAGATTGGGAGCTTGTAATATAGCAAATTTACAGTTTCTGAAACTAACAGATAATACTGTAGGCTGGTTGCTGGGAAAAAGATAATTTCCTATGATACAGCCAGAAATCACCTTCCTCTGTCGCATTCTATGCGTCCTTTGACAAATTTACAATAAAGGCAGAATTATTTTTTTGGTCATGCAAATAGAAAGTTAATGATCAATCTATAGGTCATGCGCAATCTTTCTGCTAAAATAAAATCATGAAAAGTAGCAAACAAGAAATTTCTGGGATTTAGAGAGAAACCGAAGCTTCTTACCACTTCTCAAAAGCTGCTTAATTTTGTGTAAAACCTTTTTGTGTCTCAGAGGGGATATTTAACTTAAACTGAACAGTTATCACAGTTGGACCAGGATTCACATGGGCAATCCAAAATGAGAAAATTTATAGAAATAATCAATTCCCAATTCTTAGATTTGACTAGTCCTTTTTTCAAAATCAGGTAATACCCCTAGATTTGACTAGTCTTATGCTCTTCATAAGCAGCAGATGATCTTTATATAATAAGCAAATCTCAATACTTATAAAAAGCACACTACCTCTTGCTTTAACAACACTCCGCAACTGCCCTCCAAAAATTGCACTTAATTTTGAAGGAACAAAGTCCTGAGTTCTTGTGACTGCAGATTTGTTCTTTGGGCCAACAGTTTCCCATCCCTCATCTTCTTCTGACGAAACAAGTAATGAATTTTTCCCACTTGAATCTGATTGCCCTTCAAGCTTTAGTAATTCACCATGCATTTGATCCATTACAAAACTCAGAAACTCCTGCGCATCTTCTTGTCTGGAAAATTGTTAATAAAGGGAGTTTTGAGATACTTTACAAAGAGTTGACACATTTCTCCAATTTACACTAATCTAGAAATGGTAACCTCAAGGTCTGTCACAACAAGTACATTGAAGAAAACCCCAGAAAGAAGACATCTATAACTACTAAACAAGTGTAAATAAGTACAGACCTTGGCCTGCCGGAAATGGCTTTAGGCACATCAGGAGTAAATTTCTTCAGAACTGCTTCAAATATTGCTGGGCTGAAGGGCGTACCGACTTCAATACTGGTGGCATCTTTCTTCATTAAATTCGTAGAACCAGGTACAGTAAACTGAGAAAGAAACCCCACAAATGCAGCTAATATTGGATATTCAACCTTGGAAATACTGTGTATCCTTGGACTTAGTAAAAGCTCAACAAATGGTGAACATGACAAAAGAGCTTGTAATGTAGCATTAAGGAAGCATAAGTTCCCTGGGTTGATTAAACCCCGAGGTAGCAAGCCTGCAACATCAAGAGGGCCACCAGATACCTCCAGAGGGGCCTGTCCTGAATATGCGCGTTTTGCTGAAATGTTAGTGGGCCCATTCGAATTTCCTTTACTTAATAGTGCACCACCATCTCGTCCAGCTGTACTAGACAACTTGTTAATGCTTTTACTCTCATCTTCCGACACACATAAATTACTAAACTCGATATTGTGTACCATTGCAGATCCTTCATGTCCATTGGCGAAGTAATCGTTCTGGACATCTCCATTCTGTTTGATTTCTCTGAGTAAGTTATCTGTCTTTGGTTTCTCATGCCCATCTTTCTGCTCCTTGAGAGTAGTAGAGGAATCTGAGCCTACTTTCTCTTTGGAAGAACCAGGTTGAGAATTGAATATATTGCTGAAACTTCCAAAAGATAATTCAGGCACCAATTTTGAGGAATTAACTAGCACCTTTTCTTCCACGTGCTTATTCCCATCACAACCAGATGGAGGGTTCAGCAATGACTTTGTTTCATCTTCAGTAAATGAACCAAATAAAAATACCTGTAACACCAAGACAAAGGAAACAATGTTGGCTCGAGGGAAAAAAAAGGTAGAATCACAGGTAGACAGTAATTCCTGCCTAAAGTATCACAGAACATGTTGCACAACTGTCGAGTAAATCTACAGAAGCTTAAGAAGATAGACTGCAATTTAGTCATTTTCCATCTCCATCATACCACCATACCAATTACTTTATCAAATATCCCCCCATCATTCAGACACATCTAAAGCTCTTAACTATTCATACAAAGTTAACATGTCCAAACCACACTTAACACAATCGCTTGACACGGCTAACGCCAAATCCATGTACCAAGTCATTTTCTGCCTGCAATTGTAGCAGCTCCTTTGAGTATTTTACTGCCAGCCCCATCAGTTCAAATCCGAATTAGCCTTCACAAGACTTGTGTAACCACTAATGTATTGACTTAATGCACCTAGCTAAATGCAGGATATCACTGCTCAAACCACTTCTTCTATTAGGATCAACGAATGTCTATTTAACATTGTATAGAAGGTTAGCTTAGTTAGTTATTTGTTTAAAGTTGTGCCCAAAAAAATTTGTTGACTTGATTATTAACTTGAATTCTTGTAAGACTTTATTCCATGTCTTAGTAATATAAAAGTGATCAAGTAAAAATAGAACAGGCAGGAATGAACCCTGGTCTTTCATACTACATGGTAAATAGAATATACCAGCGAAACGCAAGTCGCCACAGTAATTGGTCACTACCACAAGCCTGAGATATCCCCAAGTGATCTTATGTAACTTAGCACTGGACCACTTCCTACTAGACAAGTATCCATAAAGCCAAGCATGTGGAGAAAAAGGGAAATTTTTGCGACTCTTTTACTTTGCAGCAAGAAGCCATTCAACCATTAACTAAAATCTTTCTCTAACAGCATATCCATCTGAAAGAAAAATAGATTTCTTTTTCACTTCCTAGGTCATCCACAACAACCACATACCATTAAAACCAGACTAGCAATCAATAACATTTTTAAAAAAAATCCGCAACTCAAAGAACATATTCCCAAAAAATAATGCAAACCGTCACAAACAAATTGCTTACAGCCAATAATAACCAGACAATGACACGCCTATGAACCATCCCAAACTTCTAAAGAATTGATTTTTATCCATAACTCAAAATAACCAAACATCATAATTCCACTCAATCACCATATATCAGAAACAAAGTGCAGTCTTTACCTTACTCAGTCATCCACAATATGACGGCCACAAACCACAATATTACAACCACAACTCAAAAACCAATTTTGTCCATAATTCAGAACATTCTAGAATTACCAAAATACCACCAAAAGCAAAAGAGAAACATCAAGAATAAACAATAAGCACCTTAGAATCACTCATGCTGTGCAGAAAAATGTAGGCTGAAACTCAAAAACCACTAAAGTAGACAACTTTATAGGGAACTTATGAAAAATCAGCCTTGTTGCTGCAGACATGAAATAGGAAGAAACAAAGAAGAAGAAACAGAGCATTTAATATTAGCTGAAGTGGATCCGATTATGAACGGGAGAAGCATCGAACAATTCTAACAAACGCAGAATTATGAGACCAACAAGGACAAGGATTGGAATATATAGGGATTTTTGGGACTCTTGGGATTTTGGAGTGTTTTGTTTTTCGTCTGTCCGACTGTCCCTAGTTGTATGTGTGTGTGTGAAACTGTGAATGTTTTTTAGGTCAGTGGCTTAGGTTGTAGGTTTCTTTTTGGGGGAAAAGAGGGTGCCGATCTCCTTATATACGTCCGCTTTTTATACTGAGCAAATTCCAGTTTCTGTATACAGTATATATATACCGACCTCGAATTTTTAGTTATTACACACACTTGGTGCGCTATGACTTTCTTCAAAATTCTGTGGGTCATTTGGTTTAGAATTTAAATTATGTAAAAATTGGTAATGCAAGAATTTATAATGAATTTATTAGTATTGTATTTGGTTATTTTATTAAATATTATTACACATTAACAAAATAAAGTATTGGTTATTACATAAAAGATTATTTTTATCATTTAGTTGTTTTAGTCATGTATTAGTAATCCTCATATTTTTACATCACATTTTATCCTCCATAAAATAAAATTACATTATCGCATAATTTACTGAGTAATAGTTACGCGTAAAAAGTAAATGAAACTAATAAACATTACACGAATAATGTTGGATTTTACGTGGGAAGAGAGAATTAACCAAACATTGTATTAACAACGTTAACTTTTAGTTGGCGACTCTTTTTTCCACTTCTCCCAACTAAAAGTCAAATGCTTGAACTATTGCCAACTGAACTTCAAAGGTTACAATTTCTGGTTATGTCAATAGTTGTGCATCTCTTAGATTAGATAATATTTCACTTATTAGCATATATGCGGCTCGTAACTCTAAATTTTAACTTCTCTTGTCCCTAAAAAGAAGATATTTTCCAAGACCAAGATTTCAAAAAAAAAAAAAAGGACTTGTTGCAATAATAAAGCTTCTCTATTAAAAAGAATAAAGTTTGTTCTTGTTGCATGTTTTCACAATGAAAACATCATACGCTTTCTTTTTTGCAATCCATAATTCCAATCCAAGAAAAAGTAATAATACATCCATATTCAGATGAAAACCCCTGAAAATATTTCTATTTGGTATATTAACATGCATCCAACTTATCGAGTGTTCACTTACCTTTTTATTTTATCTTTGAAAAGGTTTAATGGAGTCCATCCAAGTTATAAGGATTTCCTTGCTGAAAACTTAAAAGTCCATCAACCCCACAATACAGTGTTTGCTTTCACAATTACTTTTATATTTCAGCAGCTAACTAAATTTAGCTAACAGAGAAAATGAAGTAGTATATCCTACCAAAGCTTTGACATTAACTCACCTACACAATACATGTACATTACCATGACAAACATATATTCCTCCCACCATCTACAATATCAAGCACTGTATAAGATCCTGAAAGAAGCCCGACGATGCAATGAATCCCACAGCACTCTTTCTTCGTTATTGATGTCAAATAAAAAGTAGTAATTAAATATGATATTTAGCTACATCAAGAAAAAGCTGTAATTTATACACATCCTTGGTCCACCATACCATTGGCAATCGTTAGGAAAGCAGAGATCACTGCTCCATGGACCAACGCCCTGCAAATATCACAACCACCTATTGAATTGAGCTAGCACGTTTGAACAAGATAATATCCACGCGAGCAACGTCTATCACAAAAAACCAAAAGGATAATCAAACATTTCAAGGGAAAAAAACAACAATCTTGTTAAGAAAAGAACTGAAGAGCATTTTAGAAAGAATATTTCATGCTTTATGTAGAAAGAAAAAACAAAAACACAAAAAGACATTATTCATAATAACAAAGCACAGGAACAATTTCCTTCAAACTTTTCAATATAATTGTTGTAAGCGCAACAACAACCCATTAATATCCCATAAGTGGAGTCTGGAAAGGGTAGTGTGTACGCAGACCTTACCCCTACCCGAGGGAGTAGAGAGGTTGTTTCCGATAGACCTTCGGCTCAAAAAGACGGAAAGAGACAATTGTTGTAAGCGCCTATTTACTAAATCCATAAGAATGCACATAAAGCCCACTTTTTTGTGGTGTTAGTTTTAGGCAAAAACTTACTCTGGACTTTCCTTTTGATAACCAAAATCTGTTGCCGCTTTTAGGGCTCTCTGGTATGTCTGTTTCATAGCCTCCTGCAGCAAGCAAGAGATCCATCCTCACTGTTACTAGGGATGACATTTGCATTAAAATGGAAAACAGACAAAAGAAACACCTGCAACTATACAAAACCTCATCTAGAGACAACTAGTGTTGGTTTACAGAATATTTACGGACAACAAGCATATGATAAAATGCTACATGAAGATGATTAACAAGAGGATATTCTTTCACAACTGACTCCAGCACACGTTAATTTTTGTTGGCTAGAGCACGAGTAGGAAAAGCATAATAATTTGCTTTGATTGGCACTTGGTCCAACTAAATATATTTGAATNCAAAATCCTCTGGAGACCAGTTTAAATTACACTCTTTCAGCTCAAGTTCCCCTGCAACAACCTGTGATTGATAGTTAGAAATTTTATCCAACCAAGAAAATGGACACAATGAAGTTGCAGAAATGTCAGTCCACAACAGAAGAAAATATGGGAAACCTCGCCGTGTTATTATGAGCATCTCAAGATATAAAACATATGGCGATACAAATTGGTGCTTCATGCTTGTTGCACTAACTTTCAGCTAAACTTCTGTCTAACGCAAGCTTCACAAAATTACTTCACAAGCTCTATCTCATAATAGGGATGTCAAAAATGAGATACCACAAAGGAAAAGTTAATCAAGTAAAAAGAAGACGGTGGGAGAAATTGGACATAAATCTTTTGTCAAGCATTAAATAGTACATCAGAAGTGTGAGATGCCCTCGCAGGAAGCCAGTTAACTGCAGGACAGACTCCAAAATCATTTCTTGTGTAAAAGTAAAATTGGGATCGAATGAAGAGAATGTTGCTTCCTTCTCTCATTCCCATCATGAGTTGAACAAAATTGAACCATTTTCTTCACAGTTACCAAGACTTTCATCCTTAACTTTCTAATATAATCCATCAACAAGTCGAAATAAGAGTTTGAAATTACCTACTTTAGCATTATATCTTACCCATATTGGAAGACCCAAGCCAGTATTACCGTCACATAGAAGCATAAGCTTACTTTGAACTAAAGCAAAAAAAGATGGTAGAAATACATAATGACTTCCGACGCAAATTCAGGTAGTGTTTGCTACTTTTCGACAAATGAGTTACTTATAATGAACAGGCTAGTGAGGAAAGTAGATCCTACCCCTCCTACACCAGCAGCCATAGAAGGAGCAACTAGGACGTTAGCCTTTCTCAAAACATCAACTGCCTCAGCGGTACATGGCATAATGGAGCCTAAAAATGAACAGAAATACAGTTAAAAGTGTTAAAAGAAAGACACGCCACTTACCCACTCACTATATGGTTAGGAATCCGGGACAATAATAACAAACAAGTGAGAATGATAACAGGAGGTTGACCAATACCTTCTACAAGTATATGACAACCAGAGTTAACCAAGTTAATGGCGTCAGATTGATTAATTTCATTCTGTGAGGCACATGGGAATGCAACATCACACCTTTCACTCCAAGGCTTAGCTTCATCATAGTACTTTGAGCGAGCATAAGTCTTTGAGTAATCTCTGCAAAAGTACTTGTAAATATGCCATTTATTCAAAACCTCAAAGGTATTTGTCTACACAACTATTGTGGAGAAAAAAACAAACCTTAAGCTTCTCTGTTGAGTTTTGATTTCTCTCAGGAAAGATATCTTTAAGAAATCAAACCCATCTTCATCCACCAGATAACCCTTTGAGTCTGTAAAATCATAATTGGAAAATTTAATAATTTAAGTATCATATTTTACCTGCACCATATTAGTGGCGCAATGAGCTATCACTCTCACCTTCTGGAAGAGAATATCTATAACAAGCATAAACTGAATGCTCAGTAATTCCTAAATGATAAGCTCTAAACCAAGCCATAATGTTCAATTGAAAGAAGGTAGGTCGCAAGCTGTATTGGTTGATATTGGAATACAGATTTTTGAGAGAATACCTCTCAGTTCACCATTCAAGCTGAAAAAGAGTTCAAAAGTAATCAGAAAGTTTACCAGATACGGTGATGGGAACGGCCCCATAAGCAATGAGCTTCTCTAGGACATGCATTGCAATCTTTCCAGAACCACTAACTGCACACCTGAGCATAAAGGCCGTTATAAGCATTACTTCTGATAACACCAGCAAACAGGGGCGTATGCAGGATTTTATACAAGCGGTGTCGATATTTTAAGAAGTGAACAAATAAACAAATTACTATAACGAGGCAAAGTGGTGGAACTAAGTAGAGGAAAGGGGGTTTAACTGAATCCCCTTTGTTAGAATATTATATTGCATAATTAGGATAAAACGGATATTTTTTGTTATATATAAACAATTGAACTCCCTTGACATTAGAAAAAAATTCTAGTAAAGTAGGAAAGGGGTTCAAAAATTGCTATAGATCATATGTTTAAATCTCAATTGTGACGTTCTAACAGTAAATATTTGTATGCCAAGATTCCAAATAATAAATCATTAACACTAGTCCCAAAAGATATCTAGAAAATAAATTTAAATTACTTCAGAGGAAAAAAAGAAACTAATGGAGAATCGTTCATATTCTTTCTCACTATAGCCTCAGGTTGGGGGTGGTGTCATTTTGAGGGTTTTATTTGTCAAAAATGGATTAAGCGCCTATGCTGGGGATCGAACTAGTGACTTCCTACACGGCAAGGAGCCGGCACAACCACCAGACTGAAACAACTTCGTCTCTCAATCAGTGTCATCTTCATATATATGATAAGTTTCTCTTCTCTTTTTTTTCAATCCTTCTTCAACTATAAATTTGTAAAAAATTTCAGCAAAGCGGTGTCGGGTGACACCGCTTGTAGCAACGTAGATCCACCCCTGCCAGCAAATACCAAGAGCAAACAGCTTTTCTCTCTCTACTTATTGATACCTGCCTGCCTTCTCAAAAAAAAAAACTTATTGATACCTGCCTATGCAAATAGTTTCGAAGCTCATAATATAAACGCCTTGGAGGGGTCAGGCTATAATGACCTAATTACATGCCACCTATATTGTAGGACGGTATAAATATCTACATGCTACCCACTCATGTCTTCTGACAAAGAGATCTCCATGAATTTCTAACAGGCTTGCCATTTTTCAGCTATGCCAATAATGTAGGTGGATGCTCATAGTAGCAAACAGATCCAGTGACATTGCCATTCATGAGGATCAGTAAAAGAAGCCCCAAACATTAGGCTATTTTTCTCTTATATTTCTGATTTCACACATAAGGAGATCCATCAATTGGAAAGGATGGTACCTTAATCCTTTTAGTTCTTTGTTCATGTCTGCAAGCATAAGCTGTGCAAAGAAAACCTAAAGTTTGCAACAGAAATTAGTTGGCAGGAATGAGACAGGTATTTGACAAATTAAACCAACAGAAGAAGAAGAAGAAGAAAGAGACTCCACCAATCCGTAGCCAGTAGCCTCAGTTCGAAGACTAGAGCCTGACCAATTTACTCTAGGTCCTGTAAAACTTCCCTGCACAACGTGGAATGTGTATATTCATAAAATTAAAAAGAAAAGAGAGAGGAGAAAGGAAAGGAGAATACTTATAATCATATGGATGATATACAATACATTCAAAGGAAAAAGGTCGAAAATAAACTTCTTGCTCAAAAGCATTAAATCTGGTGGTTCACCCATGAAGAACTGTTAATTATCTAGTCTTTACATCTCTAACTACACCAAGTGCTTCAGGATTATGCTTCATCAATATGATTGGCACAGCTTTTAAACGGGTGTTACCATGACCCCGTAGTCAGTTAGAGACGTGTGTAAAAACAACAAAAAAGAGCATAAAATGAACTAAGTAATATTTGACAGATGGCAATGTTTTATCTAAAGAGTAGGAACCCCTAAAGGAAAGGACTAAAACCCCTATATGATTGTTATCAATATCTTGACTTATTACAAGGACAACCGAACAACTTCCATATACATACTTGTAAACAAATACTTACTCGGACCATTTTACATGACAGGGTTTGATTAGAGCAAGGAGTTTAATAAGTTAGATCTACCTGTTTATATCGATCAGTACATCAAATCGTTGTTTGAAAATTCTTATATGTGAATTATCATTGCTGGAAGTGAGTCAAACATTTTGAGACATACCTAAATGGAAAAGTGAATCACAAGAATCGGCACAACAGTAGTAATAATTATATTTGCAAGTGTAAAGGAAGCCCTAAAACCATACAATTGAAAAACTCGCTTAACAGCTTCTCATAACTTGCCCAAACTACCGAAGAAGCTCGAAAAGGATACCAACAAGTGCCTTGTGGTTGTGGACTTACGAGGGAAATGCATGCACATTAGAATTTTCAATTAACTAGCTGCTAGAGATGCTCCTCATTAGATCAACAGCAAAGCCAATTAGTGGCTTTTAGTTGAAAATAGCAGAGCCTTCTCCATGAACTATTAGTCCTTCAGCCCAATGAGATCGTAAGAGGGAGACAGGCATACTTTCAGGAATTTATCTTTAGTTTTACAGCTTTGTACATAACATAATGCTAACTTACTAAAAATAAATAAATGACATAATGCTATGTACAGAATCCCCTCTTGTCCTCCTCACTTCATCTTCAACAGAAAATGGCAATAATAACACAGTTCAGAAATCCATCAGATGGCATTCTCTCTTCTTCTACTGTTTCTCTTTTTTGAGTTAAAATATCAAGATCATTTAGCTTAGATTTGTATTCTGTTGTCAACCTATGAAATTCAGCAAATCTCATATAATATGTGAATTATTAGCCTCTTGATTCCCGTAATACGTCGAAGGATGTTAGCTTGTCTGGTCTTGATACAATTCTTATCCATGGTCACATTAGAACAAAAGAAGCGGAAAGAACAGAATAAGATGATCTGAAATATCAGAAAATTAACCATCTTCACCTGTGAATGACCAGCCAGTCGCCGATATTGTCCATGCAGAAAGCCCATTTCCCGAGTACCAACACCCATCTCCTCTGAAGGAAGATCCTACATGATAAGATAATAATCAAACTACA